GCAGGGGGAAAGCGTTTGCACTTACTAGTCGCAATTGCGTACAACATGGGAGTATTTTGCCTCGAGGAATGCACAAAGATGAATGCCGTATATTTCAGTGAGTTTGTTAGGAGAAATTTCCCGGCTCAATCATGAAACATGGACGGAGTTCAAAGGTAGAGTTTGTAAAACACTCTTGGACACTTCCGTAGATTATATAAATAATTTAATATTAAGTATGCCTAGACGCATCGACGCAGTAATCACTGGAAAGGGCTATAGAACCAAATATTAGTATATGTAGTTAGACACGTGACAAGTGAGCTCAGTGAGCGTACTAGGAAACGAATCTCACCCTTACTTTTGCGTCTTATATGCGCTGTAATTGACTTATTATGAAGTTTTATTTAGAAAAGTAGCGATGGATGAATGAGCCCATACCTACAGTATAACTCTGCCAAATTTTAAAACACTTGAGAACGATATAAGTAATTGAGAGATGATTTTTTTCGGCGATTCTCACTTGCGCCATAAAATATAAGCAGTAAGATATCAAATTCATTTACAGTTATCGAGTGAGCTTCGTTTAAAATAGACTATGTTTGGTATATTTTTTAATGATTTTAAATCTTGTTGACTATAACATTCTTATTATACATATTGTGTGATAAAAATTAGCAAATACATAATGTTAATGATTAAAAAACTAAAAAAACATTGTATTTTATGCTGAGATCCGTCAGTGAGCATCGATCTATAAATTATTTGTTGACAGACAAATATGTCATCAAGCCAATTATCTCATCCTGTTCAGTAAATTTTTGTCTGCTACTGCTCTACATTGTCTAAGATAAGCTTGGCAAAGCAAGAACTACAAGGTTTTATATGTTTTTGTTCATCTCTTGGTATTTGGCGATGTAATTTGAACATACGCCAACGAACATCCATCATTTCAGTGTTGACACTATCCACACTCGCTCCCATAACTAAGGCAAGAGGGGCGTCACTAGTCGTAAAAACTGGGGTGTCCTTTTCTAGCACAATATCCTTCCTCACAAATTTTTTTGGGGCAGGAAAATGCCCGGTGTCACCCTCTAAGACCTGCAAAAACTCACACCATGGTGTAAGGGAGGGTTTCCATCTTAGGTCATTAAGTAAGATCACCTCTGCTTCCTCTATGCCAATACACGCAAAACTCCCCGAGGCTGGATTAACAAAACACTCGTAGATAGATTTCAACGGCGAAATAAGAAAGGTTTTTCCGCAGTTAGCAGGGCCGTGAACATAGATATCTCTATATTTGCCTCGGCCTCGCAGGAGGGCATCGTATACTGCACTTGCGAATGTTGAAACAGGTATGCCATTCCCATCCAATATCTGAACTGCCGCACGTAGCCATAATCCGTCGCAGTTGTCTTGGCATGGCTGTGTTAATTGCTCTTGGAGTAACTCTAGCCTAGTTTTACTAATTCTTTCCAATCGCTTTTCTGCTTGTGTCAGTTCGTCGCTGTCTCTAGGGCTTCGTTTACAACTCTTGGTCCTCGATTGCAAACAAATTCTGCCAGATCTGTCTTCCTCTGTTCTTGCCACTTGCTTGCTAGAGACATAAGCTCTACCAGAGACTTTATGCCTTACGACTTGATTATTCGAACCACGTCGTAAACTGCCAAGCGTTTCCTTTTCTTTTTACTAGCAACTCGTTTCTTAGAATTCGTTTTACGTTTTTGAGTTGCATTTGTCGTTCGAGGTGCCGTGGCATTAGCGAGGTCTGGGTGATTCTCAGATAAGACATAATCTGAGAATTAAGGTTGGTCTTCACATGGGGCTATTCATGTCCTGTTGACCATACCTTCAACCATATTATGTAGGGTTTAATCTATTTTATGTATGGTTGTAAAGTTAATAAATTATAAATTAAATTAAATTATAATCTGCGTCCTCTTTGACTACGTAATTTTCGTGTTTATCTGAAAAGTTCACTTTGATACCATGTTGGCTACCAATAAAATTCCTGACCGCGAGCCATCTTGTTTTTTTGTCGAGTTTGACTGCCATATGAAAATGCTTCCCACAGTCCTCGTGCATTTCTTCACTTACTACCCACTGTAGTATATTTGAGCGGCAGCATGCATTCCACGCATTCACTATTAATTTGGCAAATTCTTGACTATATAAACCCGAATCACCACATTGGCTATAGGTTATGAGATAAATTGATCTTTGTTTTGGAGTTTGAGAGAAAATCGCTTGCGTATTCATTGAAGACATACTCGAATATGATACACCCTTAGGTTTACCGGAAATTCATGATCAAGATGCATGACGTCTAAGATGCAATCTAAACTTTACATCTTTTACAAACGATTGTTCTTCTGTCCGTTTAAATCTTATAAACATGTACAGAGTTTGATTGATTTTTTACCGTTGCGCATTTATAGCTATATACAAGAGTTAAATCTGTTTGAACGTAATGATAGTACCTTAGCCCAACCTCCCACATTTCCTTCCCCCCCCCCCCACGGAGTTGAAAAAATTATGTTTCAAGCAACTGAACTATTATGGAAAGCAAACCATACCATATTAGTAAAAAAACGACGATGCGTACTTCCTAAACTACAATAACGACCAACTGAATTGATTAACATAACTATAGATCGATCAGTGCGCACACCACAGACAATCTTTGCCATTATACTATATGGGGCAATTTTGTTTTAAGAAAGTTATACAGATAATACGCATTTTATGCAGATATATATTCCCCCCTCCCTCCCCCCACCAGTTTCAATGTTGCGCCTATGCCAGAAGACGTCTCGTTTGTGATATATCTAGTTATTTTTTTTATGACAGCAACATTGAACTGGGGGCATGGGGAAACTGAACATTAGCGGTGTTAAGACGTTTCACTATTTATCCCATAGTTTCTGGAAAAGATTGTAGATTATATGGGTTTGCATTAAAATTTTAAAATAATTGATCATTATCATCTCCTATAGTCTATACCGTGATTTAAACATGATAATTTATATTAAAATTGTATAAATGGGTAATATAGCCTAATCTACATATATAAGTATACCAATATATTGTATTCCCTGTCTAAAATGTGATGACATTTAAAATAATATTAACAGTCATTCATGCTCGCATTGTATCTTGCAATCACATACAATATTGGACTGCCTCTCAAATGTTAATTCTCTAATCACTCGATCGCGTTTTTCTTGGTTTTATGTTTGAGTATTTGTCCGGTAACAATTATGCAACTTATATAATTATGTGTGGGCTACATGTTTTTTTTTATAAGCTCAATGCATAGATCATTTATCCACTGTTTCAATTATTTCAATTTACTCTCCGTTAGGGCCGCATCATAATCACGTTCGCAATAGATTATTCTAAGCGCACGTTTTTGTGTTATCTCAATATTGTTATTTTGCTCTTGAGTTAAATTTCCATGCAACACATGTTCACCATATATTTGGTATGACCGTACAAAAGCGCAATAAAATGCTCTTAGGTATTCTTTGGACGCAATGGCTCTTCATTTAACTCTTAACAAGTATAGCCGTTTAGCCGTCTTTTTGATAAGTATTCAGTATTCGTTCACCAACTTAAAATCATCGTCTAACCGGATCCCAATAATTTGTAGGATTTTACTCGAGCGATCATGGATCGACCTCTATTTCTACTGGGGGATATTTGTTTTACCCTTCCTAAAATCAGTGATCATTTCTTCATATTTTTTGGCGTTAAGTTGCATTTATTCTTTATTAGTAGACATGCATGGCTACATACGTAGTTAACATTTTCTTGGTTATTTCCAACTGCAGACCCTGGGGTATAAACTGAGCTATCGATCATTTCAGAGAAGGTCGTATATATAAAACTATATAGTCTATAAACATCGTAGTTTCTCCATCATCATCAGCACCATCTTGGTTAGGTATTTCAGGGTATTTTCTAACTAAATAACTGGGGGGCCAAAGCCCCCCAGCCACAATGGTGGCCCCCCACTCAACCATTTTGGCCCCTGTCAAAGTCCATTTTCTCTAAAATATAAGCAAAACATGGAATTTAGAAGGTTGGTTTGATATTCTAGTAACTGAAATTTGCCTTTTGAATCTTATGTCCTGTTTTTCATCTTTAATGCTAAACATTGTGTTGTAAATATACCTTATTAGATTTTAAAAATTTCGCAGTTGTTGGAAGGCTCGGGTAAACAAATTAGTGACTGCAGGGGCAATGGGCCTCCAACCCAGTGTTTTATAAGGGGTGGGAATAACTTTGGCCCCCCCACCAAAAAAAACCAATTGATTTGGAAACTAGAGGTATTTGAAAACGGCGTATATAAATATAATCAAATATCTGTAATCGATATTTTGATAACAACATTTCTCTCAATAATCCATCTCGACTCGCGGATAGCATAGACTCACAAATCATAATGAACGAAATAATGAAAGGCCCTAACAAAAGAGGTAGAGAAGACTTTGAAAATGCCATTTCCGACAATTTTGAGACGCAAAAGTTTCAAAATTTTTCCGCTCTGTGCCAACCATTGGCCAGCTTCGTGGGAGTCGGGCCCTCTAAGTTTATCAAGCTCCGCCAGTAAATAAGAGAAAACTCAAGACGAATATATAAAGGATATATAAAGGATATATTATACAACACGAAATCACAGATGTTCCCAAGCGCCGAGCGGGGCTTAATATATTTATATTGTCAACACTGTCCGAATATCAATCAAAATACGTCACTGTCTGATGTGACGTACTTTCTGTAACTTTAACATATTAATAATGCTAATCAGAATACGTCATTGTATGTGTGACGTACTGTAACTTTAACATAACATTAACAATGTCAATTGTGGCGTGGCCTTTTTCTTCTTCTTCGCCTTCATTTTAACTATTACGTTACCAAGTCTCATATTCAAAGTACTTTGGTGGATTCCGGTCACTTGGAGGTCTGGTATTAGAGTTGAGATCAGAATCAGCAGCGGGTGAACAGCCTTGCGATCATGTTGCGTGTGGAGATAGCTGTGAACCTGGGAGAGTTAATGCTGGTGGTATTTTTGTTGCCTGGAAAGGTGAGTTGGAACCTTGACCGTCGTCTTCGCTATCTGTGTCAGTTGTACGGCTAGGTTGAACTTTTGGTATCTGACTTGGGATCAGGTGACATTCACTGATTCTTACTTTGTAAGCCAAAGCTCGTAGTTGGTTACCAGAAAACTTTCTGACAAAGCACCGTGGCTTATCAACAGACACAACCAAGTAGCGGTTTAGTGGCTGAGTCTTGTCGTGTTCAGCGGGTAAATATATGAGATCTCCGACATGTATTTGTGAAGTACTTTTGCCCACCGTTTTGGTGTTCTTCGACCTTCCGCTGTATGGATGGTTCCTTCGACAAGTCTTGTGTTGGTTGATGATAATGTCCCTGTCTTCCAATGGAAGTTGCTCATGAGTAAATTGGTTTCTTTGTGTCCATAGTTCGTCAGCAGATATACCTTCTCTGCGCAGGCGTGCGTTGAGTCGTGAAACAGTAATGGCCAGGCCGAGTTCTGTAACTGGTCCGCCGTTAGGAACTTGCCGATTAAGTTCACCTTCTAATTCCGCAATTGCCTTTTCAGCTACGGGGTTCTTGTTGCTGTTTTGATGCGACCGATCTCTATGGATATGCCAAGCTGTTGGAGTATACCGTCGTCTTTCAAAGAGACAAAGCCTGGGGCGGGGTCAACTCTAACCGTAACGGGTGGTCCACTTAGTGGACGTAATCCAACGCATAAGCGTGCTAAATTGTCACGGAGTGTCGCGCTCTGTTCATCAGGTATAATGCTTGCTGATGTGTATGATGTTGTAGTCTCACGCAATACCAGAATGACTTGCTGCAAAGATAGAGAACGTCAGCCGCAAATGATACGCCAACTATGTCCGGTGGGTTTTCCGATGTGTGTTTCGTCAAGTTCTCGCGGAGCTTGCGTAATGATGCGCATGTATGACATGTTTCACAGACGCGGTCGATTACTTGAAGCATGTCGAGAGCATAGAACTGGCGTTTCATGACTAGTTGCAGTTGATGCTTCGAAGGGTGGTCTAGTTTTATGTGCAAAGCTGTCACAAGTCCATTTAGAACAGTGCGAGGAACGATAATCATATCGTTGGACGGGGAGAGAGGAGTTTGACGATGTACCACTAATAGACCCTCTTTCGCCATGGTAGCGACGTTAAGGTATCGTTTTACGTCCTTGATGTTGGTAATCTTTTCAGATGGACGGGTACCTTGCTTAAGATGGGCATGTGTACGTCGGAGTTCCGGGCATTCTGACTGGATTTGAATCCAGGCTGAGCGAGTAGTGAATGGGAGACCAGATAACCCGCGGATATCTTGAACAGATGTGGACCGGACCACGGAATCTTCCGTGAGGGCGACGAAGTTGCAAATCTGGCATCTTGGCTCGTTGCATTCTGCGGCATTGCGACTGGCAAAGTCTGATGGAACATTGGCAGTACCCGCTAGATGACGAACGTTGACCTGGTACCTACTGACGACTGATAAGAAGGAAGTAACTCGAGGGCTCGCCGAAAACTCGCCGCGACATAATTTTTCAAAACCCTAAACACAAGGTTTACTGTCCGTTAATAGACATGCTTGGTTGGTGGATTGGATAATGAACTGGCTGAAGTGCTTAACTGCGGCAGCGATACTAAGAGCTTAAATTTCGCAGGGTAACCAGGAGACTTGATGTTTTCGTAGTTTTGCGCTAAAGAAGCCAGCGAGATGAAGCTTCTCATTGCGGGTGATGTATAGGGTGGCCCCGATACCGTGTTTGGTAACTGATCCATCAGTAACGATCCAAAGTTGATCAGATGGTTGTGGTAGAGTGATGGATTTCCATGTAGTGAGGTTGGTTTGTGCAGAGCGGAACTGTTCGCGTAACGTATCTGTCCACAGCATGCGCTCGCCTGACTGTTGACCTGCAATGGCGCTCTTCAGTGGGGCTATGATGCGTGAACACTTGGGTAACACTCTGCCCAGGACTTTATATGCGCCAATAAATGAACGTAAACCACGAACAGTGTCAGGTGCGGTCACGATGACAACGTGGCAATGCGATGTGGACTGGCCGATAGACGTCCTTCTGTCCATATCCATCCAAGTATGGTAGTCGAGTGGGGGCAGATAATGGTCTTTGAAGGAGAAAGATGGAGATCTGAAGAGCTTGTAAGATGCGACGCCAATTCTCGAGAAGAGCTTCAGGTGAGTCAGCTCCCCGTAGAGATCGTCGGCAAGTTTGGCTGTGATACCGTCCTGCAGACAATCTCCCAGTACACGACACATTAGCTCCTCTAGGGCGGTTTCCGATCCGGGCATGCCCATCGCGCAGCGTGTATAGGCTCGTATACCACGAAACGGTGTGGCGACGCCGCAATATTTCATCGAGCTTTTCGACAGCGGTATTTGGTAGAATGCACTTAAATCGGTTACTATGATGTACTTCCACTGAGCAATAGTGCGTAGTGTGGTGTCGACATCAGGTAGCAAAGATGTCTGAAGCTTGCTATAACGCCCAACGTCGGCAAAGGCTGTGACCAAACGATGTCCACCGGTTGGTTTGGTAACGAGGAACGAGGGATTTAGATAATCTACTGTTATTCCAATGTCCTCGGGCCGTTTAAATACTCCTTGAGCTTCAAGTTCATCGAATTTCTGTTGCAATTCTACTAATTTATTACGGGCATACTGTGGAACACGACCCTTTCGTTGAGGGGGTTGGACCGGACCCATGTTAACCACAGCTTCGAATGGACCAACTGCGCCATTGTACCCAGTGAAGGTGGGGTCGAATACGTCATCATGGGCTTCTAACAGGCTGCGGAAGCTTTCACGGGTGGTGGGTGGAAGAATGTTGTCGGGATCCACGGTTACACAAGAAGAATGTGAGGATGCAAGAGGTTTAGGGGTGACATGTGGAACAGGATGCTGAGGAAAGGGGATTGTGTTCTCCTTGGGGTCTAGAGTCTGGGTCAAACGAACTTGGCAAAAATGTTCATGACGGGATATGTTCTTAACTATTGATGTATCATTCAGTATGCAGCTCGTCCTGCGACAGCTTCGAGAATATGTGGGCGTGGCCAATCACTCACGGATTTAGCGCAATCTGGGCGAGGCTCCACGGCAAGGGTGCTATCTGGGTCAATTTCACGAGGAATGGGAATCTCTAGGTATGCACCGGGCCAGATCACTGTAGGAGTTGGTGGAGCTTGAAGAACGTATGCCTGGGTACGTCTAACAAGGTGTTCCTTCCGATTGGGGAGATGTGTATTGTAGTGGGTGACGTCTGTACCCTTGATTGTAATTTGTTGCTTCGAGGGTCTAATGGAAATGTCATTGGTCACTATAAACGGGGTTCCCGCCAAAACGTTAACGTCTAAATTGTTTACGACCAGGCCATCAAGATGGAGGGTGTGGACGTTACGTGATAAATCCAGATGGACTTCACCAACAACGCTTAGTGGGGTAATTCCGTCAGCCTGTAGAGCTGTTTGCTTGATTTTTTGGATAGTGGCGCCAATTTGTTGGGCAATAGATGACTTAATCATACTGGTTTCGGCGCCAGTATCAAGAGTGAGTTGTACCGCTTGGTGGTTGTGGAATACTTTCAGGTGCCGGAATTGTTTTGTGCTAACTCGGTAGGTGGTAGACTTGACCCGATTGTTCTTGAAACAGGAGTGGTCATCTGGTTCTGGCTCTGAGTCTGACTTATCAGACGGTTCATGTTGATCAACAATGACCTGTTGTGTGCGAGTTAAATATTGACGTCTTCGTTAGGAAGAAATGGGCACTTACTTAAGTAGTGTTGGAACTGCGATCTTTTAGCTTGTTTACATATGCGACAGCACTTGGTTGCCCCTCCCTTGTTGTTACTGGGCTGGGAAGACGCACTACGATTGTCACGCTGTTGTGAGGATCGTCGAAGGGCTGTGCGTAGAACTTTACCCTCATTTGAAGAATGAATTTCGTCGAGGAGGGCGTCTAAAGCTTGAGATATTTCGGGTTTGAGGCTGGCTAGTGTCTGTGATCGGAGTTCTGTCCCGTAACGTTGCTTTACTAACGTGGGAAAATCTGCATGAATTAAACGCAACCATGTCAGTACAATTATGTTTTCAAGCGAGGGTGTTAATTCTTCGTCCGTGGAAACGTCTTCGCCGTGATGTTGGATATTACCATTAGCTGTGAGTAAATTGTCATCGATAAAACTCAGAAGTCGCTGATATAAGTCCTCGGGGCGCTCGTCAGGCTCTAAACGAATGTTATTATAATCGACAAAATGTGCCCCGGTGGATTGAAAGCCATAATGTGCACGAATTGCTTGCCGAATTGTCCTCATAGATGTTGAGTTCTTAACGATTGTGTTTCGTGCAATGACGGGACAATAATTGGCTACTTGGCCGAGCATTAACTCCAAGTGAGTTAGCTTTTGGGCGGCTGTACGTCGGCTGGCTTCTGGAACGTCTTCGCCGTCGTTTTCGAGACCACGTAGTGGGGCCGTAGAAGTCTTTCGCAGCCATGTTGTGTCTTCGAGTAAAAATACGGCGAAGTTGTGGTCTAAGGCAAGGGTGTATTGAAGATTGTGGCGCCAGGCTTCATATGAAGTGATAGTTTCCTGCTTTGTCAGGGCCCACTGTTTGGGAGCTCGACTTGTAGCCATATCTTGTTCGTAAATATGTGTCGTATTAACAGCTACAGATGCAAGCTGCTTCGTCTTCGACTTGTTGTCTGAGAGTAAATTCTTATCGACTTTGATTGTATTTGTTGAGCTATTCCACTTTATCGGAGCTCTTTGAGAACGATATTGAAATTCTCAGTAATGGACCGCTGTCACCACGCCAGTAAATAAGAGAAAACTCAAGACGAATAACACAATATAAAGGATACATTATACATCACGAAATCACAGATGTTCGCAAGCGCCGAGCGGGGCTTAATATATTTATATTGTCAACACTGTTCGAATGTCAATCAAAAACGTCACAGTCTGATGTGACGTACTTCCTGTAACTTTAACATATTAATAATGCTAATCAGAATACGTCATTGTATGTGTGACGTACTGTAACTTTAACATAACAATAACAATGTCAATTGTGGCGCTGGCTCCCTGAGTGACGGCCAAGATGTGGTATCTACATAAACATACTATGCAACTAATGCAGTATTTAACTGAAGGTTCAGTCTATCTACAGATAAATATAATGCTGTATATCCAACAATCTGTTTCAGAAAATGCAGGGAATTGCAGTCATGCGGGTAGAAAAATACAAACATTTTCTGGGGGAGAATACTCCCAGGCCGCCTACTGCCTCCCCCTAGTATTAAATGCGATACCCCACCAAACTTTTTCTTACCAACAAACCATCTATTATTTCTCCACACTCGGTATAGTATGGTCCCTTTTTGTACATGGCCCCCACTGACGAATTCTTAAAAAAATTCCGTCGAGTTCCTGATCATAACAGACGGGAGATTTGTTATAAACTCAAATATCGGTTTCACTAAATTGTATTTTTGACAGGTACTTTACCGATTACATACACAGTATTATTAATCTAAGTCTAAAATAGCGTTCTATTTTTATGGCTTTTTTACTTTATTAACATAACAACATACTAGATAATCTAACTAATAATACGCTGCATAATCAGCTACATAACTTAGTAAGTTCCAACTGAATGAGTTCTTAATGAGTTCTTAATATTATAAAACGTTCATAATATTCTCACAACAAGATTGTCAATTCTTACTTTGAAGACGACTGGACCATTTAGTCTACTGCCCTGGGGCATGCTTCCATTAATTCCCATTCGTTCTGATTTTACACCTTGGTATGAAATTATTTGTGATCATCGTTGTAAATATGAGGAGAACAAACCAATCATTCGAGGCCGTACACCAAATAATGTCTTTATAATTTTCCAATAGTCGTTATGATCGATTAAGTCATAGGGCTTTTGGAATTCAAGAAATGTAATTCGAATTATTTTCTTTGGATTTTCCATTCCTAGATACTATTTATGTATAGTTGGGAAATTAGCGCAAGGATTGCAGACATCACGGTAAGGCCACAAAATTGTGATTCACTAATTTTATCACAAGTATTATTTAATATCCACTCCACTGCATAGAACTCTTGGATTTTTGAAAGAAAAGTGGTCAGGGCAATTGGTCTTAGATCTTCCACCAAGGAATATGGAATTGCTTTAGCGATACTACACACATCGGAGAAATTCCATACTTCCATAGTTCTGGAAAAATATAAAGCTATTTATAATGTAGCAGTTTGTTTATTACTCGGATTGCCATTGTCAGTTTAATATTAAAACAGAGTCAAAAGAACATGCCTTTCGTCATTCCTTGCTTCAAAGCTTTTATTCCATTTAGCAGCTCTAATACTAGAGCCACAGAATTCAATTTCTCTCCGATCTCATTTTTAGTTATTATTGACAGTGATTGTTTGTGTATTAGGATACCATCGGAGATCGGCATCATCATACTTGAAGTGTTCAGTACAACCTTCGCGGCAGCACCAAACGCTGTCAGTTAAAATTAAAATATTCCTGTAAATTTGAAAAGATTCGGTTCAAACTAACTTGCCTTTGTTTTTCAATAATATACCATGCATGAGATTGCTTCTTGCATCCTTTTTTACAAAAGCAAGAGCCCTCAAAATAAACGTCTGCACGTAGTTAGTTTTTGTACTTGGAAAAGTTACAAATATAACCGAAAAACCTGCAATTAAGTTTTATTAAAAGTACCACTTGAAAATTAAACTGCATGAGAAACAAACAACATGGGTCTAATATAAAATTATCAAAGAATGATTGGATCATGTGGATTAGATTGCAAGATCCTAGTGCTGTTTACTGCTTTTGTGGCGGCTGGAGAACATCGATCTGAACTTTTAATCCACAGCTGTGTCAAGAACGTTGTTTTGAAGATGGACTTTAGGTGTACCAAGCGTGTAAGGTGTGGTTTTACGTTTGTTCAAATGAGTATAATGAATAATGATGACAATGAGCAACGAACAAACTAAAGAAGGTCAATCAATTCGCTCTCCCTTGATAAAGTTGTTGATCGGTCCACATTCGTGGAATGCCACGTACGAAATAGCTATCATACATCACGCACATCGCGCTTGATAATTGCGGATATAACGAAAACCACGTTCAAAAAATGAGTTATTTTCTTGCTTTTCCGTCTAACCAGGTAAGGGATAGGTTGTGCACAAAATAACTGTTCCACCTTTGAAATCGGTGAACTAAAATATCATGTGACTAATTGTATACGTATTTTCACTGTACATCACAGGTTCCATGGAGCGCGCGCTGATTAACGTGTGCTTTCAACAGAGATAATTTTTTGTTTACAATGCGCGTGCTTTCCATTATTTCGATGTTTTGGAAACTTCAAGTTCTTGTCTCAAGTTTACATGGTAGTTAAAAGAATAGTTGAAAACGGAGTTGTTTCTTGGAAGATACATGGCTAAAATTTGAAACAAAAATCGTTTTCGTCACGGCTAACGGGTTTTCTCCCATAATTGAAAACGCAGTCGGCTTGAAGTGGGAGATTTTATCGCTTTTTTGCGCCAATAAAGCCAATATATTGTCATCACGAAACATTCGAAGGTAAAAATATTAGTGCTAAAATTACTCTTTGATTGGAATTCCAGCAACGAAATGAGCACTTAAAGACCGATACGAAATCTGTTCTATATATTTTTCGTCTTGAGTCTGTTAGTGCATGAAAATCATTTCGCCCTGTTCTTATTTTAGTAAACAAATTTCTTCCTGTGGCTTAGTTAGTTTGAATGATTTTTATTGTTTTCTCTGTTTGCTGTGCTTACCAGTGAACGAGATACTGCGCGTCGAGGGTGTTCATGACAAAATATTATCAAAAATAATGGTTATAAAATTCCTGAAAAAAATATCTCCAAACATCCCGATGAAATCCCTCAAACATTTCTAGCAATTTTAGAAATCTGTACAAATTAAAAAATATCTTTAAAAAATAGAATTGAAATCCCCAAAATCCTTAGCCTGCATGGCAGGTGGTACTAGCAAATACCGCATGCCGCAAAACTGGGTGTAAATGAACTACCGCCCCTGAAGCATCAAAGCTATTTGTAGATGTCAATAAGTAAATATTCAAAATTAGCCACTCCCAAGTTGCTCCCAAGTCCGAACTGCCCAACATGAAATAAATCCTTGATTCTCATCACCGCCCGACTGAAATTTAAAATCCTCGTGAAAATGTTTTATATTTCGTTATAACAGGTGGGAAATTTGTCGTCGCTGACCAAAAAATTGCGGGCAGAAACAAAGCTCATTGCATTTACATTCAAAACAAAGCAGAAAGTTAGCAAGAAGCTGTTTTAGCTGACGATTTTTTGCTTTCCATTCAACGATTTACAAATTATAGGTTATTCTTTAAAAGTCGATCATGAATTCTTTGTTTTGGGATGATTGTTTTGTAATCGAGTGATTGGAAGAAGTTCATATGGCGACGTGAACATGGGAGTAAATACCGTATACGTCGATCTATGGCTTGTTTAAAACCGTAATAAACGAAGAAAGACGTGATTTGAGAATGAAATGTAAGTTGAAATTAACTTTATATGCCTCAAATTTTCCATCCTATGTTTCTTAATATAACTTCAGCTGTCTAAGTTCAAAATACAAACTCGCGAAATTTGACAAATTTTGAAAATATGTAAAAATAGCTTGATTTTGAACTGTATTTTCTCAAAAATAGCCCGTGGCCTCAATTTCAAATAAAGCTAAATGAAAAGAAAAAACGTTTCGGCGTTTGTAGGTATCAAACATATCGTCAGGAAAATAGGGGCTCACAATGTTTTAGTTCAGTCTTTGAGACCCAGTTGCTTCGCACGTGTTGTGGTCAAATTTTTGCCAAGAATCAAAGGCCGAAATGTGAACTTCCTTCATCAAAACCGCTTCGAGAAGGGTCTAGTTTGAAAATTTAGCTATTAATTTCGATTTCATGAGCATATTTTGGTTACACGTTAAGTATTTTTGTGCTTGATGAGATTCAAAATTTGTTGTATATTCAAGCCCAGCTTTTGTGTAATTTTGGTGATGACCGGAACAGAAATAAAGATATTTTAAAAACTGGCCGTGGCCTCACGATAAAACGTTCTACAAATGTTCTCTGTTTCATGTACTTTTATTTGATATCTTAGGTATAAGCGTAAAAATAGGGGCTCATACAGGTTGAGAGGTTGTAAAATGCATGACTTGCTTCTATTTTCATGTAAACATTCGAAATTCTTCGACAGCAAAGTAGCAACTGTTTCAGATCGAATGTACACGGACAGCCCACCAGAGACAATGGGACGGTACTGAAATAGAACGTCACTAAAAAATTCTGTATGATTAATTTAGATCATGTCCATTTTCAACATAAAACAGTCATTTATTTTGTACAAACATTTGGCAATATTTACACGATTGTGCCTTTTTGTAAACACGCGTTGCGTGTATTCCACGCAATTGCGTGACTCATTTTACTCGCGCATGCTCAGACAAATTTCCAACCTGTTTTTCGTTATACAATATAAATGTACCACCCGACAAAATAATTCAAGACAATTAATTTTTTTATATTTTATTTTGGGTTTTTTGAAACAAACAGAAT